CTATGAATTAATCATGAAAATAATACTCAATTAATAAAAATATATTTTAAAAATAAATTTAGAATATATAAGAATAAGATTAAATAACTATTTAAATTTATTAAAATATAATTTATTGTATAAATATATATTTAATGCATTTTATTTTTATTTTTAATTTAATTTTACATTGACACTGCAAGGATGAATCCTAAACAAGTTTCTATCATGAGTGATTGGGATTTTACAGTCATGTTTGCATAATAATTTAATTTGCATGAAAGCAAAAGCAAGTTCGTCTGGAAGCTTCGACTGAGATCTAAGAGTGAAATTCAAAATATCAACATATCTGGACTCCCGCCTACTCGTCAAGGAGCCCTCGAGATGAGAGAGTTAGTTGTAGGAGAGTTTCTCGGGGATTTGCAGCCGCAGCTCCGAGTCTAAGAGCTGCAGAGATTCGTCCTCACCAGCTTTGGCTGTCTGCGTTGTTCTGACAGTTGCGATATTACTAGTGCTTGTCTTTGCAGGCTCGACTTTGCTTCGCTGAATATCCACTGCAGACAATGTTGTTGATGGATGACTCAAGCGTCGGCTTGCGATTTCGAGACACAAAGGGCGGGCAGGCATGGTTTCGCAAGTCTTCTATGCATCAGAATCCTTCCACTGCAATTGCTAGAGTGCTGCTGCTCCTGCTGCGTTACATCAATGGATGAGACTGATGGAGGAAGAGAGAACTGCCAACAGAATGGACTAAAGCTAGAGTTGTTGTCACAGACAGGGTGGCTTTGCAACCTTAGGCACATTTTCGACCTCCGTGCAGCCAATGTAATTTGATTTTCCCGTAAGAATGCTCACCCTCGCAGACTTAATGAGTGCAAAGTTTGCTGAAATTACTTTGTCTAAGATGTGGTCAGAAGCAGTTTCTTCACTTGTAGAGCCTATTTGAATGTAGTTAACAGCAGCTGTCGTTGAATTTATGGATACTAGTGGAGTGCGAGGAGTCATTTGTAGCTGATGGCTGTTGCCAAACAAGCCTTTGTTGCTCTGATCATTATCTTAAGGAAGCAGACATTCTGACCTGTGGATTGTTCTAGTGGAGCTGCAAATATCCCGATTTATTCGCAGTATATCATTAACGCAAATCTATCGCGCCTGTGAGTATTCATGTGGTAACCTAGAGGTTGGGCTGTTCGGAAAAGTCGCGGCCAGTAGCTGTAGTAATAGCTGGGAGGACCTGGGGAAGGCCCGTAGCCATGGCTGTTGTTGCCGACAGTTATGTTTCTGGCCGTCGAAGAGGACCATATTGGATAGAGAGTGATCCTCATCTGCAATCCGTGGTCGGGCACAGTAATTGGTCTGAAGCTTCTATCGTTGATGCTTGCCTTACGTGTGCTTGCGACTTCAGAAGGAGGTCTTGCACCACTTGCTCACTGACTACCATCAACTGAGTCAATACTTAGAGAGAAACTTGACCATGATGCTACAGCTTCGTAATTCGACTCTGCTGGTCTCAATGCCATCATTGCTTTGGTTCAGCTTGGTTTGATCTGAAATCCTGGTCCAAGACTGTGACACAGTAACGTTCTATCGGTTCAACTGTCTTGATGAGCGTATGCTTGCAGCGACATGAGTCTGCACATTCTTCATCACCAAACACATCACGGCTAAGTCAGACAAGTGGAATCATGCAGCATGAAATGTTAAAAGACTTGCAAACACTCAAGCAGTACAGAATAAAGATTTCGTACTGTGTAGCACAATTAGCAAAGCAAATATGTGGACATGCTGTATGCACTTCAAGAGAATCTGAAGCTGCTCTCCTTCATGAGGAAAAATTGGAGATTGCTCAAGTTTCAAGTCTCTGGGACAATCAAAAAGTGCTAGGTGGATCCATATTTTGAGAGTTGGCTAGTGTTGGACAGGTCTAAACTGAAATGGCTGCATTGTGATAAACGTCAACCGGCACTCCGATTTTAGGCCAGAAGGAACAACTACCACGCCTCTGCACACGGTGGTCTCCCGCCATGGCTGCAGCGACCACGTTTTTCGTGGTCTCCTTTGATTGCAGGTTTTCCTCAAAAGTCTGGAATCATTTTACCCATTCAGCAACTGGAGTAAAGTGCACAATGAATTCTGACAACAATTTTCACATATTTAATGCCGAGTGTTACAGGTAGCTGCTAGATCTCAAGAGGATGTGATGTGTCGATGCCTCGCAGCGTCTTAGAACGTGCAAAACTTGAATGGGAGTCATGGTCCTGTTTCTGTGAAATACAAGCACAGTTGAGTATGTCCAGGAATAGTCGTATAATCCTCAATTTAAGCTCCTGCTGACTGATGGATCGACACGCGGCAAGGTGTTGCTTTCTTAATGACATGCTGAAGTGAGATGGTTACTTTGACGTGGCTCTGGTTAGTACCTGCTCATAACATTGGTTTCGATCCCAATCTTGAGGGCTTCATATGGACTTCATCTGGGCCTCCTTTTGAACTACTAGCTGGTGAAGCCCGCAGACCCAACTGAGTTCGAGTCTCATACATTCTGGTATATTCACATCCAGAGAAACATGAAATATGCTGACATGAACCCAGCTTGATTCTATTGACACACGGATCTTCTACAAAGGCGCCAGTCCGACATGAACTTATAGGTGACCCTGGTCAGGCTTCGAAAGGCCACATTGCAGCCATCGTTAGTTTTAACTCATCACAAGCAGTTGATTTTTCAAGAATAGCCAGAGGCGTAGAATAAACTATATCTGGCAACCTGATTGATTTGATGGAAGTTGATGTTGCTCAGTTTTAATCTGGGTAACCATGTGCTATAATATTAGTTTTGATGCAGCCACAAAGGGAAGTCCATGCTCTAAAACTCCAAATAAACCATGGGGTTATGTTCCGAAGATGCAAGCGAAGTTTCTAACTTCTCGTGAGGGTGGCTCCAACAATTTACGTCACCTGGACTTTTGCAGAATGAACCTGGAATCCTTTTCGGTGTTCCTTCATGCACTTCTCGGTGCAACAATGTAGTACCCACGTAGGGTGCTGGAAGATGGCGGTTATTTGTGAGGAACTAGTTCAAAGCGTCTATTGCCAGTATCCTCATCAGTAACTCAACAGAACAGGTTGCAAGATGAGTTTCATTTCTAACGATGGTTTATCTCAAACACTCCCACCTCGTCAGCAAATATATATTTAATTTTTTCAGGAAATTTTGAAAGGGGAAATTGCCAAGATAAATTGATTTTGTGGAAAAGGTTATTGTGGGCTTGCAAATGCAAGTCCACAGTGCAAGTACATCACCGCCCTCAACTGACACCCTTTTCCGTGTCAAGGAGACCAGTAGACATTGTTGCCGAAGCGCCGCGCACGGCCACAGTGAGGATGGACAAGACCATGATGCCCCCAGTCAGTAACTCATTCGTGTTCCTTTACTACTCTCGTTAACGCATCTAACGTAGCACTGGGACAAGTTAGAAGTCCTTGTGGTCTGGATGGCATGTAAAGCAGAGCTAACGCTGAAGGAAAATTCTCAATTTGCGAAAAATTCTTCGTCTAAGATTCGTAAATTTTAAACAGCACATATTGATTGGATCAAGTCTAGGAGTACAGTTATATAGATGATGCAATGTATAAACTGCTTTCACATAAACTGCTCCTTTTTCAACTTTCCGTTTAAGGCTTCCGTAATTCGAAGACTTCAATTTCAGAACTAAGCTGGTCATGTTTTGAAAAAAATCCTTTTTGAAAGTCTGCAAGCAAGTGTCTCATTCGGAGATCGTTGAGGGCAGAAAATAATGAGGAATAATAAAAGGTTGATTTGTCAGCTCTGGAGTTTCTAATCTCGAATTCACCCGTCCCAGTCAATTCGAGAGCCAGACTCAATCCAGAAAGTAAATGTATAGGGCAATTACAACTGCGCGACACTGAATGCACATCACCTTGGAACTGCAATACTATGTGATAAGAGGATTAATGTTGCAGGGAGGAGAATATAAGGGAATATACTTTCCAAAATCTAAAACCCAGGTTCGTCTCTGGATATCTAACCATGAGACCAAACTAGATTTTAGAGGTAAAAAATAGGTTTTCCTATGTAGTCGCCCAGAATCAAAACAATATCTATCTGTAAAAATCAAGATGCTCCTATCCTTGTTCATTTGAATTACTAAATTTGATCGAACTCAGACTGCGACGAGGTACATGGATTTATTGAATTTTCATGAAACACTCGATGTAGTACAGAGTTCACAATCAATGTTGCATGTTCTTCCTGAACTCCGGAGCGTCAGACATACTTCCGCAGATGTCAAGGTCCAGCTTGTCGTGACGAACAACCTTTCCTTTTCAGAGTCTGTCAAGTGTGTATTATCAAGTTCTGATGTTATCTGAATGGGAAGTTTATCGCAATTTTATCATGTGGGTCCTGATAAGAGAAATCAGATCAGAAACCAAACAATGATCAGGTAAAAATATGATGAGGGTCAATGATGGCACCAGGGGAGGCTGGTATTTGCTCTCTGAGCGCAGCCATGGCAGACAATTTTGGTAAGGTATGTGGAGTCGTCGTCGATGGATATTCTTCTCCTGGTTGTTGCGAAAGACACTGCCTCGTACCCAGCCTTTTCACTTTGTAACTCGTTGCGTCTCTCCTGCGATGTTTCTTTACACAAGCAGTTCTCATGGCTGGGCCGTGAGCTCTTCTTATTGACCATAAAACGATCTTAGCAAGCATGGGCGCAATGAATCCTACTGTGGTGACCAAGTACTTCTACTCAACATCTGAAACTTTTCAGTTGTCTGAGTCGTCTCCAAGGTCTGCAAAGTGTGGTTGTGTTTACCTCGTCTGTCTTAGTATTTTCTAGTCAATATACCTTCTGAAGCATCACAGAAACATTGTTTAGGAGATTCTACGTCATAGGTACCAACTTTGAAGAAACATACAGCTCTTGCTACTGATCTGATTGCTAGCATACGTAACCATGACGAGATGCATATCCTGGTGCAGATGCAGTATCGTGATGCTCACGCCGCAGGGAGACATGTAACGTCAAGATTGAGTGCTAGAAACAAGAAACCACCAACAAGACTGCAACAAAAAGAATGAACACCGTCGGTAATTCGAAACGCTCTTCAATGGCGTCTTCCACGAAAGCTTATGACGACATCACTGTAGCTGTCTCACGTGAGACATCATCACATTACGATCAGTATTGTCCCATTCGTACTTTTAACTGCAATTTTTGCACTCGAAACTTTAGAACTGCCCAAGCTCTGGGCGGCCACATGAACGTGCACAGGAGGGAGAGGGCCTACTCCAATGAGTTGCTCAGTGATCTGCACTCTGAAGCGCGGCAAATTGCCTCATGTTCAGTGCTGAATCCATTGCTGGCTGCTCAATATGTGTTTCCTCATGTTTCTGAACACATGAGCACCCAGTTAACCGTGGGAGAAGGATCGACGGCTACATCAGATCGTCACATATCAAGCTCTTCGACTTTGTGTTGGTTATCCTCATTATCTTCACCTCCGCTGGTAACTGTCTCACACAACCCATCTCTCAATTTCTGTGTCCCCCAAGCTTTGCAACACCAACAAAATGCTCTCCCCAACGCTCCAAGATTCTATCAAGTGGAACAGTTTCACCCCGCTTCTCCACAAGCCCTCCGCCGTCAATCCTCTTCTGAACAAGATGCTAATTCCTGCAGAGTGAACTCAGGCTCAGCTCAAGGATCTGTACCACAGGGTTCTGTCATTGGGAATGTCATTCCTAGAAATTCATCTCATAACATAGTACTTGGTTCTTGTTACGAGATCAGGTCTGAAGCTCTCAGCGATTTCATGAGCAAACAAAGTTTTTCTGAACAAAGTCCTGGTGCACTACAATCCGGTGGAGAAAAGCTTGACTTGGAACTTCACCTTTAACCAAGCACTGGAAGGCTGCGGCGATTCTGTCAGAAAGACACCATTCAACCCAGCTGACTAGGATTCTACGCTGACTTTTGTTTCGTTTATTTCTACAGGTTTACCTCGGTATCACTCTAAACGTGTGTATCTTACATTTGATGTATTTCTAAGACAGCCTGGACATTTCTTGCGCACCAGCGTTATGTGGTAAACATGCCAATGACTTAGCATCTTAGATCATCTAGGATCGTGGCATACTCTCATCTTGAACTTGATTCTCATGCATGACCGATGGACGGGTGAATTGAGAGTTACCTGGCAAATTGCAAGTTCAGGCCTGGGTAGTTATTGTGTCATCGATTATAAACTTCCCTGTGCAAACTTGCATGAGCGGAGAGGAGAATGGAAGGCACCATTTGGAGTTAGAAGTTTTAATTAATTGTATCAAATTATTATAAATTCTTATTTTTTTACTAATTTATAATAAAAGTTGATATTAATCCAAATTAAAATGCCATCTTAGAATTTTTATTTTTAATTATTAAAAATAAATTATTATATTTAATTCTAATAAGAAGTTTAAAGATTATTTTTAGTAATTAATCTATTTATTATTATTATTGACCTAGACATTTTAAATGCGTGGCTCTTGTACTAAATGTACAAAAATCATCTAGAAATATTTCTATTGAAATTCGTAGATAATCTTAGAATGCTTGCGTCATTACCCTTTGAAATGTAGCTGGTGCATTACAAAGCCCAAACAGCATAACCTTATAGGCAAAGGTCCTTCAATCCGTAATAAAAGTAATTTTTAATTGGGCTTCTTTTGCAATCTTAACTTGATTATAATCGGAGAATACATCAAGAAATGAATAACATTCATGTCTAGAGGCAGCATCCAATATACTATCCATGAATGGTAAAGGAAAATAATCCTTCTTGATAGCCGTATTTAATTTTTGGAAATCTTGACAGATGTGAACTTTTCCATTCTTTTTTGATACCATAACAATTGGTGAAACCCATTCACTGAAAGGAACTGGATAGATAAATCCAACTTCCAAGAGTTTATCTAGTTCTTCTTTTACTATAAGTGAGTATTTTAGATTAAGTCGATGTTGTCTTTGGCATATTGGTATAGCATTCTCTTCGAATATAATTCGATGCTCACAAACTTCAGCTGGAATTCCTTTCAAATCCGCATACGACCATGCAAAAGCAGTTTTATGCATTAAAAAGTAATCCACTCAAATTTCTTCTTCCTTGTCTTTTATACAGTCGTAAATTTGAATGATTTGGGGAGCCTCCCCTATACCTAAATTAATTGGTTGACATCGTGGAATTTCAAGAGTCCCTAGACTGATATTCTGCTCAATTCCAAAATCTTTCATAAAATTCGACACATGAAAACTTTCCAACTCCAGTTCCATAGCACTAACGTTGTCGTGTTGTAACACGAGTATATAGTGAAAATAAAAAGAAAGGGGAATTTTATTAATATTCAGTTACCTCGAATATTGGGAGCAACGACCAACTCCTGTACAAATACTGAGTGGTCAGGTTCAGTCACCCCGTTACAGTCAGCCGGGGCATACTGAAATGCTCCGTTCAATTCCAATAATAGGAGTCAGTAGGAAGAGAAGGACCAATTCACACGACGGGTTCGAAGAGCCAATTGGATCTAATTTCGAGAATCCAATCCAGGTTACTACTGGACTCTTATCCAATATGAGACCTGAATTGGCCGGTCAACCCAATGCAATCTAATTACGGGAAATCCAGGTCTTACTACGGGTCTTAGCCAATCTGACGTGAGGACCAATTTGACCCAATTATGTGAACATCCAGGTTACTACGGGCATCTTTCCCAATATGGGACCTGAATTGGTCAGGCGACTCAATGTGGACCCGAGTACGGGGTTTCGATTTTGTTTCAGGCTGTCCTGTTCTCTGTGCCGTTTCAGGGAACGTTGTTTGCGGTAAATGGATCTTTTCAAGGTAAAAGCGGAGGAGAAGGCCTTGATGACGTGAGCCAATTTTGGATCTAAGCTCTGACGGCGGGAGCCAATTTCGGATCCAAGACGGAAGATTGAAGGAATTCAAGAGGATAAGGTTAGGGGGAGAATAAGTTTGAAGGGGAATCGGGGGAGTGGGCAGAAAGCTTTTGCAAGGTTACTAGTTCGGTTTTCATTGGAGGTTTTTTTGAAGATCAAGGGGAGATTAGAGAGAGGAGCTTCATGCTTCGGGTCGGGGAAGGAAAGACATAGAATTTGGATTTTTCTTCTTCGTAGAGTTTTGGGAAGACTGAGGCAATCGCTGCTGAAGTCAGTATTGTAATGGTGAATCGAGATTTTTAATGAAGTGGGTTTGAATACTCTTCACTGTTTTGTGAAATTGAGTTACGTCTGTGATTGAAGGATTAAAAGGGTGTCTATAGGATTGAGTATGCGGAGTGAATGAAATTTATTGGGTTAATCTAACAAGACAGTCAGTGGATACAAGATCGTAAGTACAAAGCGGTATTGAAGATTAATAGTTTGGGTTGTTTGGGGTTCTCTGTAACGTCTAGAGACCTACCGGCTGGGCCAAAAAGGACTTCGACAAGCAATCGAAGAGCACCCGTATAGATTTACGGAACATTATTGCAGTCGTTTATATTCCAGCAGTCAAAACTGATAGACTGCTTGACTATCGGTAAATCTCCATACTACCTTCTACAGCTAGACGCCCGGCACGTTCTCGAGCAGGAAAGCACGTAATACGACAAAAAGTAGTGAACCCGACGTGAAAGCTTGAGGTGGAAGGTATTGGATTTCGATTGATTTTATCTTTATTTTTATGGAAAATGAAAATAAAAATTTTGAAGGATTTTTGAGAGGAGTTTCTGGAGGAGAGTCTTCTAAAAGACAAGGTATGCACATGGATCCGTCTATCGCTAGTTTGTTTCAAGCCTTCTCGTTGTCAATGCAGCAACAGCAAAGCAATGATCGAAAGGAAGCTTTGGCAACCAAAGCATTGCAAGAAGTGGTCAATAAAATTGATCAATTTGATGGGAGGAATATTTCAAGGTATTTAAGATGTTATGTTCGTGAAATGGAATTAAATCGGGTTTCTGAGAAGAAAATGGTTGCACTATTTGGACTTGCCACGATACCGGAGATAAGGGACCACATTACATCAATTACGGATCGTTATGGAAATTCATGGGAGGATTTTTTACATGCATTGAAAGACGAATATTTCTTGGAAGATGCTGATCGCGTTACTAAGAAGTTGTTTTTGGGATGGATTGAACGGCCCAATAAGAATTTGCAAGCAACAGAGCTACTAAGGGAATTTGAGAGGCAGTACTCTCAATTATCGAAGGTAGAAAAATTGACATTAGAGCCGAACAAAGTTGATCTATTTCTTCAAGCTGCTGATGGAGAATTGTAAGAGAAATTAGAACCCCTTCTTGAAGACAAAGAAGAAGATGAAGGATTGACAACGAAGTGGAAGAACGTTGAAGATGCGGTGGGATTGCTTACAAAAAAAGAAAGGAGGAAGGATAGGAGCAATATTCCGAAAACAGTACAAGCACCCAAAGCTCTAGTACGTACAACACCACTAACAATGCCTACAGTTCAACCTTCGACATCCTTATCAAAGAAAGCAGATATGGATATGGAAGAAATTATACGAGGAATGCGAGATCTTCAAATCAAATTGGCAAGACTTGAAGAGAATATTTCTATAAACAATTCGAAGAATGTTTCAAAACAAGGATATGTACAAAGATGCATTTGGTGTGATGATGCTTCACACACTAGAAAAGATTGCAATGAATTTAATAATATGATACGGCAGGGAATTATTTGCTGGAAAGATGGAAAGATAGCATTGAAAGATAGGGAGGATCTTCTTCAAACCAATTTTGGCAAGGGAGGAATGAAAGCATTGGTTCAAGATTACTTAAAGGAGCATGAAAGAGTAGCATGAGAAAGTGCAAGTTATGGTGCTAGAGTAGATGATGAAATTGGTGGAAGTACGGAAACTAATGAGTTTTGGGCTTCTACCGTTTCTACAATGCAAGAAGGGAAATTACCTCGAGAAGCGTTATTGAGAACTGTAGCTACAATACGAGGTAGAACAGGTTGGGAGGATCCTATTGAGTCTCTTTCAGTTCATGCATATATTGCTAAGAGCCAACATGAAGCTTTGATGGAAGAAAAAAGACGAGGAAATTTTGATGATACTAGAGAAGGAAATTCTTCTAAGAGGCAAACTCGAGGAGACAAGGCTCGGGAGGCAGCTTCACAAGAATTGCCTGTAAAGGATACCTCAGCATCATTGGGAGAAAAAACAACGAAGACAAAAGATAAAGGCAAATCAATTGCTTATAAGCTACTTTCTGACATTGAAGCGGCAACAAATTTGAAAGGGGTGTTGAAAGAACGTATATTAAACGCTAAGGTGGAATTCACATTGAAAGAAGTCTTGGGAATTGCAAAGAAGGAATTTCATGATGTTATCATTGACAGCATTAAGCGAAAGAGGCAATTAATAGGCGAAACTGGAATGAGTCATACTATTGATGCAAGAATATGTAGAGATGAAGAAGAGGTTGATATTGGTTACAAGCAACCAACAAATGAAAAGAATGGGTATAATCAACGAGTATGTTTCGAAGATTCTAGTGACAAGGAAATGGAAACTTTGAGCCATTATACTCGAAAGCATTGGGCAAGGGCAACTACTGAGGTATTGGTGAAGGTAGAAGATATAGAAGAATCAATAGTTGCTTTGGTCGACCATGGTTCTGAAATAAATCTCATGTCTAAAGATCTTTATAAGAAGCAAAAATGGCCAATTGATATGGAACATGGATGGGCAATACGAGCAGCTAATAACACACGGGGCGAATTATATGGAGCTTGTCCAGATGTCAAAATTCGGATTGGGGATGTTGCGACGGAGCAACATTTCTTCGTTTAAGATACAACGTCTTATCTGTTGATTTTAGGACAACCTTATATCACGGCAACACGGATGGAAACAAAAGTACTTGACGATGGTTCTGCTTACGCAAGGGTACGGAGCGAAGATGGGAGGAAAGCTGTACAATTTCTAACAGTACCTCCTAACCATGAACGGAATTGAGATAGGTTGAGGGAGAAACCATTGCCAAAGATTGTTGAAGGATTTAAGGATTTTGGGGAGGTACCACTG